CTATTATATTATACGTCAATAACGTTCACAACATGAACATAGTACATTTGAAACCATCATATTGTAAAACAAATATATATTAGTTACTATATAATTTATAGTTATAGATAAAAAAAATTCATATAAAATAACACATGATGTATTAATTTTCAAAAATCTCACTATTTAAAGAAAAAAAAATGACTCAAATGATCATTTTCCACATTCAAATTGGTCTCTTAACCATTTCTTTCCCGAATTTATCCAAATGTCACTAATTCCGCAATATTAACTAAAAGACAAATTACCTTTTTTACTAAAAATAACTTAGGGTTAATGCCGCAAGTTGTTGGGAGTTAAGTTACGTTTTTTACTAAAAAAAACTGAGAGTTAATGTAGAAGTTGTTGGAGGATAAGTTAATTTTTTTTACTAAAAAAAACTCAGGGTTAATGCACTAGTTGTTGGGGGATAACTTACGTTTTTGACTTCAAAAAAAAAACTCAGGGTTAATTATGCACAAGTTGTTGGGGAGATAACTTACGTTTTTTACTCGTTTAAAATTTTTATGTTTTTAATTTACTTTGTTTATTTGTTTAAAATATATATTATATATGTACCAGTAGGTACCAGATTCAAAGGTCAAAAGGTATCAAGAGGTCCCAAGTTCAAATCAAAGAACGAATAAAAATCCCCTTGTTGTCACATAGGTTCAAATGCGGTGATTCCAAGCTATCTGCAAAGCAGGTGGTCGTCCTGAGATTAGTCGTCTCACATAACGGGTTGAAAATTCAGGTTAATAAAAATATATATATATATATATATATATATTATATTATATTACATTATATATATTATATTATATTATATTATATTATATTATATTAAAAAAAGATGGTGGATTCAAATGAAAGTGTCTATATATATATATGTATGTATATGTCTACAATGGAAGGTCATATCATGGCTCTTTTCCTCATTTCTGTTTTATCATTCATCTCTTTCATTTTGGTTTTCAAGCTTCTTGTACCCAAAAAAGGGAGAAATGTAGCCCCAACTCCACCTTCTCTCCCAGTCATTGGCCATCTCCATCTCATTACAAACCCTCTTCACAGATCCCTTCACCACCTTTCTTCCAAGTATGGTCCAATCATGGCTCTCCGCTTTGGCTCTCGTCCAGTGCTCGTAGTAACCTCCCCATCAGCTGTTGAAGAATGTTTCACCAAAAACGATATCGTCTTAGCCAATAGGCCACATTCCATGAGTGGCAAGTACATCGGCTATGACCACACCACAGTGGGCACTGCACCTTACGGACATCTTTGGCGAGACCACCGTCGCACCACTACACTTGAATTTTTCTCCACAGCTCAACTCAAGGCTTACATGGGAGTCCGACAAGATGAAGTGAGATCATTCGTTAAATCTCTTGCTCAAGATGCATGGCGAGATTTCACAAGAGTAGAGATGAAATCAAGGATTAAGGGTTTAGTGTTTAACGTCATCACGAGGATGATCGCCGACAAACGGTTCTACGGCCCGGATGCGGATGATTTCGAGGAAGCGAGTAACTTTAAGGATGTAATAGGGGAGGTGTTTGAGATCAGCGGAGCATCAAATCCTGGAGACTTCATACCATTTCTGAAATGGATTGATTTTCAGGGTTTAGAGAAGAGGTTTCGGGTTTTACAAACGAAAACCGATAGGTTTTCGCAAAGTCTGATCGACGAACGCAGGAGGAAAGGTTCGAGTTCTTCGGGCCAAGGAAAGGGGAAGACATTCATCGATGCTATGCTTGCTTTGCAGGAATCAGATCCAGAATCATACACAGATGATATAATCAAAGGCCATATAATGGTATGTATGCTTATGCCTACTTTCTTTTCACATTCACATCACAACAATTAGGATATGTAAAGACCCTTTTAAGAAAACAAGAGATCCAACAGAGTATTTATATCATGTGAGAACAATGGTTTTTTTTTAGATTTGTAAGATTTATTCTCAACCTTAGGATTAGATCTACAATCTGAACATTCATAATCATAAAATTATCACGAGACTTCTCAATAATCACAAAATTGCCACCGTGCAACTTTAGACCATTAGATCATTAGTTTATAAAATTGATCAATGAACATATATTGATCTTACGGGTCTTACAAAAATCCTTTGGTCTCACGTGAATTCAACCCTCGAATAGAAAGAGAGAAAGTTCATATATATATATATAGAGAGAGAGAGAGAAAGAGAGAGAGAGAGAGAGAGAGAGAGAAAAAGGGGGTTCATATAAGAAAAAATATTATTTAAGACAACAAAAGATCGAATAATTCTGGGTTAATCATTTATTTGAATGATTTATTAAATAAAACTTCCAAAAAAATCGTCTAAACAGCATATGTGTCATTTATTATATACAAATTATATATGGAAATTCATTCATTTAATTATATAAAGATTATTTAATACGTTTAATTAAGAAATTTATTCATGATTATTTTATAGTTTTTGTGATTTAAGCATCATTAATTTTTCATTTTTTAGTTTTTACAACATTTAAAATAAGTGTGATTTAGTCTTTCATTTAAAATACTTATTTTTATTAAAATAGTTAATCTAAGAATTTCTTACAATTTTCTCAAAATCATATGTGATATTCACAATTAATGGACGTTTTTTTTTCTAAAAAGATCTGTCAATTTTCGTCATTGTATCATATGTGATATTGATTACATTGGAAGAAATGTAAGTTAAATAACAACATTAAATGTAATATGTGTAAATTACAAATTATGTTTTGAAATACATGCGATCTTATATATTTTAAATGTGTTTTGTTATACATCACATATGATTCGGTTTTCATTATTTTTTCTTTTTCACATATTTAATTTGAATTATTGTTTTCCAAGTTTTAAATATGATTAGGAAATTTTTTTTAAAAATAATTGTAAATCACATGTGATTTTGACAAAAAATTGTAATTTTTTTAAACATTGTTTTAAATAAAAAATTAAATCATATCAAAATCATAGATATGGTTTAAAAGTAGAATCTTAAATAAATGTCTTAAATAATTTTTATATAGCATAATTACTTTTATATGGTCAACATTGGTAAAAAATTACGACTTTGACCGGTCAAACGAAATATAGAAGGTTAATTTCATAACTTTTACAAATAAACGGCAAAGAAGTGCATATGTGAACCCGTAGTTCATATGTGAATCAAACATGTTCATATGCGAATCGATTAAATAGTTCATACGTGAGTTGCACGACTTCACATATGAATACATAGTTTGTGTGTGAATCACACAGGTTCACATATGTACTTATTTTGCCGTTTATTTGTAAAAGTTACGAAAATATCCCTCCATCTTTCACATACGATGCGACGAATTATTTTATACTTCACAGTTAAAGTGGCAAATCTTGACCGGATAAAGGGTTAGGATCACTTCTATACTTTTCAAATAGTTACCACTTCTGATTAATATCACTATTCTTTTGGTTTGTAGACTATGCTAGCTGCGGGAACCGACACTTCATCGGCGACAATGGAGTGGGCGATGTCACTTCTTCTAAATCATCCCGATGTGCTAGAGAGAGCTCGAGCCGAGGTCGATAAATATATCGGACAAGACCGTTTGGTAGAGGACACCGATTTTCCCAAACTGCAATACATCCAATGCATCGTCCACGAAACACTACGACTATTCCCATCAGTACCGCTCTTGCTGCCACACCAACTATCTGAAGATTGTACAATTGGAGGGTTCGACGTCTCATGTGGCACGATGGTGTTGGTGAATGCATGGGCCATCCATCGGGATCCACTGTTTTGGGACGACACGTTAAGTTTCAAGCCAGAGAGGTTTGAGAAAATGGGAAACAYGGGRKMTYGGTTYATACCGTTTGGGATGGGYCGTCGGCAGTGTCCYGGGGCCGGGCTCGCGAACCGAGTTGTGACATTGGCGCTGGCATCGTTGATCCAATGCTTCGAATGGGAAAGGGTTGGTGAAGAGCTGGTGGATTTGGTGGAAGGCAAAGGTCTGTCCATGCCCAAAGGCAAACCTTTAGAGGCGATGTGCAGAGCTCGCCAAAGCATGAATCACGTTCTTAAGGAGCTATGAGAAGTGTTTTGTGTCAACATCATATAAAATGAAATAAAAGCAAATGTGTCGATCGATTTATGCCGAATATTATAAAGAATTAACGATCTCAACGATGGCTTTTTTCTAGTGAATTATGTGATAACCGGACAATTCGGTTAAAAAGGTCGGGGTTGTTTTTAATTAATGGCGGTAAGTTGAGGGATTAATTGGGTAAATTATTTTAAAACACCGATCATCTTACTTGTTTAATATGGGTATATTATGAGATATTTTAAATTATCTCAAAAGAGGTTTGATCAAGTTGGTAAGAAATTTGGTGTGTGTTTTGTTCTGGAGCTCGAGTAAACAGAAAACGTAAGGAGGAAAGAACGAAATTGACTCTGTGATTTCTATGTGGGAGATTAGTTGTTATTTATCTTCATTTCTTTGTGATTAAAATGAGTTTAATTTTACAACTTTTCTTATTTGGAAACCGGATGTAGAACCGTATGGTGAGTTGTTTATAAAATTGTTTTGGATGCCATAATTGTGAAACTTTGATTTGTTTATATCATGTGTTGGAATAAGGGTGACATATCAGTTTACGATTTTTAACCAAGACATTCCTCAAAGTCCCGACGTCCTTCCTACAATTTACATCACATTTTAACTTTAAAATTACCGAAATACACAAAGTTTAGAGTTGTTCTGATCATGGGCTCCCACGTACGAGCTTATATACTTAAAACGGTTAAACAGACACGCTATCCGTCTCAAATTTGAGAGCAACGTTTTTTCTTGAGACCCGTAAGACCAATTTATGTTCATTGATCAACTTTATAAGCTAATGATCTAATGGTCTAAAGTTGCAATGTGGCAATTTTATAATTATTGAGAAGTCTCGTGGCGTTTATGAATGTTCAGATCTGACGATTGTAAATCTAATTCAAGGGTTGAGTTTGAATTCAACAATTGTTAATTAGACTAATTTTGATTTCGAAAATCCTGCTTCTTTTCATTCAACAACTGTTAATTAGACTACTTCTGAGTTCGAAACTCTGTTTCTTTTAATTCAACAACTGTTAATTAGACTAATTCTGAGTTCGAAAAACCTGCTTCTTTTAATTCAATAACTGTTAGTTAGACTAATTCTGAATTCAAAAACCCTGCTTCTTTTAATTCAAAATTGTTAATTAGTCTAACTCTGATTTCGGAAACCTTGTTTCTTTTAATTCAACAACTGTTAATTAGACTAATTCTGAGTTCGAAACCCTGCTTCTTTTAATTCAAAAACTGTTAATTAGTCTAATTTTGATTTCAGAAACCCTGTTTCTTTTAATTCAACAACTGTTAATCAGACTAATTCTGAGTTTGGAAATCATGATCCTTAAGGTGACCCCAAGTGGCTTTGAGTGGTCATCTCTATTGGTGAGCTCTGCTAATTAAAAAACACGATCAATCACTCTCCTCGTGGTTGCTAAATTTCATTTTCTTTGACGATTTAGTCGGTAGGTTTTAACGTATTACGGGACCAAAAATTTAAGTGTCATATCTAAAGGCATTGTAATAAGTTATAAGACGTTTTTGGAAACCCTAACAAATTATTTAGGACATTTTTTAAGTTATAAGACGCTTTTGGACGTCCTAACAAGTTTTTTAGGACACTTTTAATACAAAGCTCACATTATTCTCAAAAGTGTCCTATAAACTCATCTTCTTATAGGAGACTTGTTTTTATAGGACAATTTTTCAAAATAGTATCCTATAAAATTGCTAACTCGACGCATTATACTAAAAGTGTTATAATTTTTTTTTGTTAAGACGCCAAAAAAGCCTTATAAACTTATTATAATGCCTTTAGGTAGGCCGTTTTATCTTTTGGTTATATTAATTAAGTCTTATAAAACGGTTTATTAGGACGTTTAGCAATTAGTGGCGTTCTATAAAGCCAATTTTGTTATAGTATAAACATATTACATATTAAAGTTTTACAAAAAAAAATATATATATAAATCAAGAACATTCCTAGAAAGAGCCCCGATCCAATTTGCCACGTCGTTACCTATGGTTTATACTTTTATATATAAAGATATTTGTGTAATTTAATGAAATATATCTCGATTTTATTGTTTCATTTTATTATTTGTTTTCGTCCATATTATAATACAGCTTTATGTCTTTAAAAAAACGATAATGTTTTTATCTTTTAATAAAATGTAAATTTGAAGATATAAAAATTAACTATTTAAAAGTTATAGTTTCTTTGTGTAATTTCATTAATTCAATTTTGATATTTTTATTAGGAAACAACTGTGAACTAGATATTCATTACATTAGATGGATCTCACTCTCTCTCTCTCTCTCTCTCTCTCTCTCTCT